TTCCTCCTCCTATTTCTCTCGTTCTCGTCCCATTCATCTTCCTCCCCATCCTCATCTTCCTCCCCATCCTCATCTTCCTCCCCATCCTCATCTTCCTCCCCATCCTCATCTTCCTCCCCCTCCACCTTCTCGACTCGTGGAATCTTCTCGTATTCGGGGTAAAGCTCGCAAAGTTGCTTGTACTTGATCTTATACAGAAACCACATTGAGAACGTGGCGGCAGCCAGTTCCTCATCCTTTTCGACGTCACGGTTGATGTCCTCAATGACCTTCTTGAGGTCTTTGGCGATCTCCTCAGCCCAGGGCAGTCCCCCCTCCCCAAACCGGCCGGCGATCGCATGCTCCTTGAGCTGATGGATGGCAGCAGGCTAGAAGAAGGTCCATCAGCGTGAGCGAGCGAGCGAGAGAGAGAGGGGGGTGGGGGGGATGAGGGGAGAGAGAGCTGTTTCCGGAAAGAAGACTCACGTCCTTCTCGAGGATGTCGGCCAGCTTCACGTCTCGAAAGACCTTAAAGGCGTGTGTGTCAGAGTCGATGTCCGGACACTTTCTCAAACAGTGTGCTATGAGACGGAGGTAGCCAGCCTGCGTCGTAAACGCGGCGGCAAGGACCCCGGCCAGCTCCTTGCGAGCTTCGGTCTCCTTCTTCTTAACAACGGCCGACCTTCCAGCCGCAGCCCAATCGTCCATGTCAAAGTACATGATAGACTCGGCGATCTTCTCGTTCTCAGTGAGATTCTCCATTGTTTCTGATGAGTTTGGAGAGGTGGATGGACGGTGGTGTCATGGTGTGGTGTAGATGGTTGTGAGAGATGTGGAGTATGCTCGGAGGTTGGTGGTAGCTTTGCTATGATAGAGACCTGGCCGGGATTACGACAAGGCTGTGTGCGCTCGGTTAAAATTCTCACCGCGTTGATTGGCGCGGTCCTTGCCATTGTCGTGATATCAACAAAGTCGATAATGGCAGGCGCGCTTACTTTGGTTGGTCCAAATTCACGTTAGTATGGGTACTCTCTACAGCAACTACAAGTGTGAATCAAAAGCATTCATAGAGTATTGTGAACTTTTATTTATCTTATCAAAATTCTTATATCTAGGGTTCTCTTGCCCATAACTTGAACTACTAAAGAAGGTCGCAGCACCTTTATGACAACTGTCAGCATCATGCAGAATGACAAACGCATCGCGACGAGATCCAAACCCAGAAGAAAAAAAAACGCTTAATCAGTTTCTTCCAACTAACGAAAACAATTTAATTCTGGATTATTTTAGACACAATCATCTCAGATGAAAGCAAACCCGCTGAGGTCGTTCAGGGGTTGATTCGGCTACGCGAGGTGGTGAAAGTCCCTGGGCGCCAAGCCAGGTGGTTGCCTGAAGCGACTCTGCATGTGACCCTCCTTGCCTGGAATTAACCCCCTTTCTGACATCGCTGCCTAGTGATTTCGTTGCAGGTACGTGTCAGCCGTTTTCTATTTTCGTCGCGGTAGAAATGTATATAGAGCGCGTTCTGGCGCCTGTGTTTTCGAAGTTCTCAGTTAGACCAAAGACCGCGGAACAGTCGGCACTTCTGCATAGCAATCATTAAGAATACCAGCGATGGCCAAGATGTCATTTCCACTCTTCACTTTGTTCCCAGCTGAAGTCCAAGGACTGGTAATGGAGCAATGTCCGCCGAATGATCGAGTGTGTTTGAGTTTGACCTGGTACCTTCCCTCCGCCTTCCCATGCTGAATTGCTACCAAAGCTAAGCAGCCTCTAGCAAATCCCTCTACAATCTCTCTACCTTGAGCAAGCCTATAGACCTAGAGACCACAGATATGGGCCATGGACCCCTCTGCTGCTCGCACACAGACTCAGACTGGACTTCCCGATGGCAACATCGCCGAGATTGTCATAAGCTGTCTTACGAAACAATTTGCAGACGCAATGAATCGATAGGTCGCAGGATTCCGGAGATGAAGAATACATGCCGCACTAGATGGGCAAGCAATCATTGCGAGTGCTTTACTCGTCGAATGAGGTTGCATTTGAGGTTGAAAGGGTGGATGCCAAGGGGCCTGGGTTACTGTGGCGAGTGTGGGAAGTTCACGAAGAGGAAGAGAGGACACCAGGGAACATGTGAGCTTATCTCTTCGCCCGATCGTACTGTTGATTGGTTATTGGCTGATTGTTCTAATGTCAACGAGAGGGGTAGGTCTTCATGGCAAACCCAAAGAGCGGATCTCGAAGCCAAATTTCTGGACGCATACATCGCGTGGAGGAGCATTTGGGAGGAAGGTCTGGAAGAAGTGGTTTAATAATAGGGCAATGAATAGGCTTGAAAGGAGGCTTGCAGAAGAGAAGCCGGAGAAAGAGAGGAGGGGTAGTCAGAGGTATGGATTGAGGACATTGAAAGGGGTTTCTGTTGATACGAAGGAGGTGAGAGACTCAAAGTCTGTGGAGGACATTTACAGGTATTAAATGATGTCTTTTGGGGGTTTAAATTAACAGAAATTGCATATCCATGGATGTAATATCAAGCTTGGATAACAGGCAAGAGCTTAGAAGGAAATTGATACGTACCTTAGAAGCGATGATTGTAAAGTCATTACCTGTACAAAGCTTTTCCCTTCCACAGCAAAACCATCTCCATTCTTCAATGATGCGAAATCATTTTGCTGTTCTGTTCAACCTGTTACGTAATAAACAACCACTGGCTTTGCTCTGAATTTTCAAAACTACATGTAGCTATGAGCAAGGAACCCCTTGAGGGTGAAGACCCAGTAACCGAGCATTGACTTGAACAAAAACTTATTTAGCGAGGTTGCCAATAGAGCTAAATTCACCGACCTGCGGCTTGTTCAGATGCGCCAAGATCACTCTCGTACTAGCGAGATTCTCTTCCCGCTCTTTATCAACACCTCCACTTTCCGACAAGAGGTTCAGCTTTCAGCTTCTCGAGGCGTCAACCAATCTTAAAGGAAAGATCCGGCCAAATTGCGTGATCTCTTTGCGCCTTTAGAAGAATTTTGGGGAGGCATGTATTTCACAAATGTTGGGAGGGGCGCGCATTGAGCGGCATGAGAGAAAGGATGACTGAGGGTTTCAACGAAAGTTAGAACTGTTCGCAAGGCTCTAGCGGTAAGCCTAGCGATAGAAGCTGGCTTTGAATCAGAAAACATCTGCCCAAGCATATATCGACTTTCTCGAGGTCCTTACAGATGCAGTTACTGGAGCGCTGGCTCACAATAAATTTCCCGTTATATATATGAATAAGTACCTTCCACAGGCAGAGGCTGGACTAATGGACCCGCTACTGATGTTGCTGTTTAGATGGCCGATATTCCGACGAGATAAAACGTCGTTCATGACGCTTTAGTTACCCGCAAGAGAACGGGAAACTCTGTGGTCTAGTCGGGTAGTCTCTAGCCCACAGGTTACCGAGTCGGCAAGCTTCGGGAACCTGAACAACGGGCCGACGTACGAGTTTTGCGGATGAAGGCTACAGATTCTGATCGATATTGAGATGTGAAGTCAGTCATGATGCTGTCTTCCTTGGGAAATCCAACTGTATCTCCGGCTTTAGGAAGTTTCCTTTTTCCTTTCTTCTTTTAATTTCCAATTTTTCTTCATCTTTTTCTTTTTTCTTCTTTTCTTCTTTTCTTCTTTTCTCCCCCTTCGCCTCATAGCGGCGGGAGTGGAGAGTTGAAATGTGGATTCTCATGTACCACGACGTAAAGTAGTGGACCGAGTGAATCAGTAAGTCTTGGTATTGGCCCTAGCGGGTGTCGGGTCGGTATATGGGAAGTCTCCCCATTATGTTCTGCTTCTTCTCTGCAATCGTCATGACGTGTTACAACTTTCAAATTTTGAGCTTTTGGACTATTACTTGTACTTTTATTATTACTTATAGAACCATCGCAGTCTGCAAAGACGTGTTCGTTGATACATATATATGTCGTGGTGTTTCCGGCCGAGTCACCGGAGCTGTCAGGGTCGGGTCGGGTCCGGATCATCCCCAAGTGGCATCAAAACTATGGGGTTACTGCGCTGCTATCAAGAATATTTGACCGAGAACTTCTCTGAACATCTCACGGTCCGATTTCGGCGCCCCGGATATTTCCAACAACTACAACTGTATGACGTCGCGTCGTGAGAAAAAAGAATCTCGGTTCACCGTCTCTGGCATGGGGAGCGCATATGTTGATTGAGGATCCACAGAATGTTGGGCCTCTATCCGCATCGTCCAGACTAAAATGGAGGCCCTTCCTTCTCCATCTTTTTCTCAGCATAGAAAAGTCCTTTTTTCCTAACAATCAACAATATGTCAGCGACAGCAAACTTCCAGCAGGGCGAGAAAATGATCCCGCAGGCGGAGGGGCGGGAGGATGCCTCGTATCCCACGTCGACCAAGAATTCATCGTCGACACAGCTTCCGGAAGATATACAGACCGAGAGGAAAGGAAATCCGAGCAAAGAGAGAAAGCGTGGTCGGATATGTGGAGGATCTTTCTTAAATGACCTTCGCGAAAATGAGTTTGGTAGTACCGAGGACGGACCACTGAAGGAAGTCGACATCGATATGCCACTCACGAAGACGGAAATTATGACCAAAGATGGTCAGGAATTTATTGCCCTCAAGTTTACCGACGACGACAAGGAGGATCCATTCAATTGGTCGGCTGCGAGGAAAGCTTGGATTACCCTGCTGCTCTGTCTCATGACACTGTTTATCGGCCTCGCAACAACGGCATACTCGAGCGGAATCGGCTCCATGGTTGAAGACTTGGATACGTCAGAAGAGCTGGGACAACTCGGACTGTTCTGTTTCAACTTCGCTTGTGCTCTTGCGCCCCTGTTCCTGGCACCGTTCTGCGAGCTTGTTGGTCGGAGAATCGTGTACATAGGAGCTTACGCCCTCTTCTGCGCAGTGTTCATTGGTCTCGCACTGGGTAAGAACATTGCTACGATTCTCGTCATGCGAGTCCTTCAAGGTCTCTTCGGCTGTGTGGGAACGATCCTCGTGGGCGGAACCTTCAGTGACATCTATCGACCCGACTACCGCGCGACGCCGATGGCATGCTTCGCCTATGTCGCTATTCTAGGGACTGTCGCCGCGCCTATTTATGCTGGCTTCGTCGTCGAAACGATCGGATGGCGGTGGATGGAAGGAATCCAAGGCATGGCCAACCTCCCTCTACTCGCCATCATCTTCATCTCCCTTCGCGAGACGCGCGGTGGGGTAACCCTCCACAAGAGAGCCAAAGCTCTTCGCGCCGCCACCGGTGATGAGCGCTACCGCGCCCTCATGGACCTCGAAGCCAAGAACCTCAAAGAGATGCTTCACAACTCCTCCGTGAAAGCCGTCCACATGCTTGCCACCGAGCCAGTCGTCTTCGCATTCGGGTTATGGATCGCGTTCGCCTGGTTCGTGACCTTCCTCTTCCTGTCGGTCATCCCCATCACATTCCAAGACAAGCGCGGATGGTCCGAGGGAGTCTCCGGTCTCCCCTACATCTCCCTCTGCATCGGTGTCACCATCGGCTTCGCCCTCAACTTCCTCCAGATCCGCAAGTACAAAGCCCTCTTGCAAGCTCGGGACCGCAAGATCCTCCCCGAGTCCCGGCTGTACGGGGCCATGTACGGCGCTGGCTTCCTCCCCATCGGGCTCTTCATCTACTCCTTTACGCAGTACGGATACCTCCCGTGGATAGCGCCCACCATCGCGCTGGCGCCCATCGCCACGGGGATCTTCTTCATCTTCGAGTCGACGTACAGTTTCACGTCTGACTGCTACGGCGAGAACTCGTCGTCCGCCATCGCCGGGCAGGGCTTGATGCGAAACACGCTGGGAGGCTTGGCGCCTCTGTTTGCGTCCCAGTTCTTCAAGAGCGTGGGCAGCCAGTACGCGGGCTTGATCCTCGCTATGGCCGGGACGTTGCTGACGTTGATCCCATTCGTGATGTTCAAGTATGGGCATCTGTTGAGGAAGCGTAGCAAGCTCGCGAGTTCGCAGTTGGGAGGCGATGAGCAGAAAGAAAAAACGGGTCTCTACACGGCGCCATTAGTGTGAAGTATTGTGTGTGTGGACGGGCCTGAGGCTTTCTAATATTTGCGTTGTCAACTCGGAAAGAGCACAGTTGACTTACCAGATTATGGAGGTTTTTGAGATTTCGGATATCTAGGCGGAAAATTGTTGTAGCGTTACGTCTTCTCTAGTTTGTATGTACTCGGATTGGTGAGGGGGCACGTTGATATCGGTGGATGTGGATATGGAGGCTGGCTGCTGGTGGATTTGGGAGGTTTCTGGGGACCCAGGTATTCACTTGTCACGTCACGAGACCATGTAGGAATTAGACGACGACAATAACCGGAGCCAGCCATGAGGAAGGACTTTTCGGTCTTTGCAGCAGCAGAATTTGATTTGCGGTCGCTCTTTCCCTTGTGGTAATTCGCCCTCCTCCGATGTGGGACCGGAGTATCCAGGCAGCCAAGAATAAGCGAGAATCGTGATGTCAGTGCGATCGATGGTCCCAGCCCATCGATCGTCATCAATGTTGCCTTCTTCTCGGGTAGCCAGCCGCTCGGGGGAGGGGAGGAAGGTTGACGACCTGGATAAACAAGATATGGATGATATCTACTATTGAATAGATTCTTCCCTATATGCTGCCAATCTCAACAGTCCCTCGGCGTCAATCAACTAGCTGCTTCATGATCTGTCTACCTATGAACAAAGTCTCCATTAATAAACTGAATCCCGTTGCTTAATCATCAGCCTGCTCATACGGAAGGAGAGCTTTGTGTCCTTGGAACAATGGCGTACAACCTCAAAGTGAACTCACTTCTTCTTTTGAAGGGCCTGACGTCACACGCTCCTCCTCGTTTGCTTGCCCCGCTAAAACTTCTTCAATATCAACCCCGCCAGATGCCTCTGACTTCGTCTTCTTCTTCTTCCTCATCACCACGCCTCATACAGATCCAACGTCAATTCTCTACAACCGCAAGCAAGATGTCGCAATCAAACAACAACTTCCTTCTGAGCGAGGTCTTCAATGTCAAGGGCAAGGTATGCACTTGGTCTCGAACGGTCCATGCCAAGAACTTATGTTGACGATGATAGGTTGCTCTGATCACCGGAGGCGGCAGTGGAATTGGACTGATGGCCACTCAAGCATTGGCGGTTAACGGCGCAAAAGTCTACATCGTCGGCCGAACCAAAGAGAAGCTCGAGAGCGTCGTCAAGAACCACGGACAGAACATCGCCGGAGAGATCATTCCCCTCACAGCGGACGTCACATCAAAGAGTGAGATTGCCAAGTTGGTCAAGGAGATTGAGTCTCGAGAGAAGGGTCTGGATATCTTGATCAACAATGCTGGCATCGCAGGAAATACACAGCAGACGGAGGCTAAGACTGCCGAGGAGATGAAGAAGAACCTGTTTGATGCCGAGGGCTCAACCTTCGAGGACTGGGTCAATACGTACCGCACTAATGTTCCTCAACTCTTCTTCATGACCGTCGCATTCCTCCCCCTCCTCCAAAAGTCGACCGAGTCCCGTCATGGATACTCCAGCACCGTCATCAACATCTCCTCCATTTCTGGCATTGTCCAATCCTCCCAGCACCATTTTGGATACAACTCATCCAAGGCCGCTGCCATCCACCTGACCAAGATGCTTGCATCAGAGATTGCGGAGAACGGATTGAAGATTAGAGTGAACAGCATTGCTCCGGGCGTCTTCCCTAGTGAGATGACAGCGGGTGAGAGTGGTTCGGATCAGAAGAGTCACATCGAGAAGGAGAAGTATGGTAAGTAAACATCTCCTCCATTCAGCTCGACAAATTTGGCTGATTCTACCCACAGAGAAAGTTCCAGCCCACAGACCTGGAAAGGATGAGGATATGGCTGGAGCAGTGTTGTTCGTGGCTACCAACCAATACTTGAACGGCCAGACGGTAGCTGTAGATGGTGGCTACATCCTGCACGCGGGAGCTTAAATCATACGGTAGCCGCGGCGTGGAATCTCATTGGCCTAAAGTGGCTTAGCGGAGGGTGCCTGAAATAAAATGCAGTGGATTTCATGAGACCCGTTGTACATTAGAAAAACGGCTCGATACAACAAAAGTTAATTCATGAATCAGAGACATGGTACCAAATTCAGGGTCAATATTAATCAATAAAATTTATGCTAATCATTTCTGTCATCATTTCAAGCTTCCCATCGTCGCGCCGTGCTATTCAGATAAGATACATTCATCCGAGAACCCATTTTCATACAACCAGTCATACACGTAGGTACCGTCACCTCGACTCCTCTTTCTTCGGCGCCAGCCCAGTAACAGCCATCAGCCCTCCAACCTTCGTCTCCACAATCTTGAACGCATCAGCATCACCCAGACCCTGCGACGCCTTCGTGTACGCCTCCTCGCTCCTGTCGCAGAGCACATTCAGATCCTCATCGGATAGGATCTGGTCACCGCTCTTATACGTGAAGACCTCTCCATCTTTCTTCAGCAGCACCTTCAAGGCCTCCTTCGTCATCACTTCATCACGCAGCTTCTGCCCTTTCGACTTGTAATCGGCTTTCTTGATGACCAGCTTCTCCAGTCGTCGCTTGGCATCGGCGTTCAGCAGCAGAGCTTCTTCGACGGTATTCTTGGTCGCGAGCCGGTAGATGATAACGGGGTTCTTCTGTCCGATTCGATGGGCGCGATCTTGGGCTTGGAGATCCTGCTGCGGGTTCCAGTCGCTGTCGAAGAGAATGACCGAGTCTGCGGATGCGAGGTTGATTCCTTGACCTCCGGCACGGGTAGAGAGTAGGAAGAGCTTGAAGTCGGGATTTTCGTTGAACTCTCTAATCTGCCGTTGGCGCTCCTCTTGGGACACCGAGCCATCGATGCGACACACAATCCATTCTCGCAGTTCCTGGGCGTAGTCTTGGATGAGATCGAGCTGGGTTTTGAATTGGGAGAAGATGAGGACTTTGTGGCCTCGCTTGAACAAGAATTTAAGCAGTCGATCTAGCAGCAGCATTTTGCCAGACGCAGTGACGAGCGTTTCGTCTACTTGACGGTCCTCGGGCCAAGGGTTGTAGAAGTTGTGAGGCGAGTTGCAGGCTAATCGTAACTGCATTAAGGGGTTACCGAGTTTCTTGACAGACATTTCATTCTCTGTACGACATTAGCGGCTTGATGGATGGCAATGGCAAACATCCAACTTACTGGCCGCTTCTTTGATCCTAATTTTCTCCTTCTCTTCAGGGTTGATGTCATCTTCTACCGCATCATCTTTCTCAAGCATTTCTGTCGCCAATTTCTCTTCAAACTCATCGTCACTGAGAGCATCCTCTTCTTCGGAAGCAGCCTCTGAATACGACTTTGGCTTTCTTCCTTTTCGCCCCCGGGTAGATGCTGGTGTGGAGGTGCGGCTTGACTTGGAAGACTTCGGGGCAGGGGAAGACACATGATTAGTAGCTTTACGCTTCTTCGATGCTAGACCGCCCTTCATCATCAGTTCGAATGGGTTTTTGGCGGCGGTAGAATTTAGTGGTCGGCCACGACCTTTCTTGCGAAGAGACAGTTTTGCTAACGGAACATCGTCATCGTCCGATTCTTCTGCCTTGTTGACCTGCGTAAGTTTCGTTTTGTGAGCCTCGGAAGCGGCATTCTCATTCAACCTCTCCACCACCTTCTGCTCTAGGTAATCCCTGGTATCCCTCGTCTCGTCGGTGAGCACGTCGCAGAGCTCCGTCTGCTCCTGGGTCATCGGTGCATAGAGAATGTATTCTCTCTTCTTGGGTAGCAGATGCTCAACATCTGCTTTGATGCGACGCAGCAATAATGGCTGTAAGATCTGCTGTATCTTGGATATCATTTCGTGGGTCCTTTTCTCTTCTAAAAAGCCTTCGGTTGTCTTCTCGTCCCGAAGATCGCTAAAGTCGAAGTAGGCTTCGAACAATTCCCATTCAGTGAAAACGGTAGGGAGAAGAAAATGGAGGAGTGACCATAGCTCTTTGAGGTCATTTTGCAGAGGTGTTCCGGTGATCAAGAATCGGCTGTATGAATGGAAAGGTTGCAGTATACGAAATAGCTTTGACTCGGAGTTTTTCAAGCGATGCCCCTCATCCTGTCAAGGACATTAGCAATTAAGCGTTGACAAGAGGTTTCAAAACTTACTATGAAAATAATACCCCAGCGTATCTTGATGAGGTCTTTCGCGTCCCTCATGATGATTTCAGGGGTTGTCAGTACCACAGGAAAGTCGTCGGTCACACGGCCTTCCCTTCGCTTGATAGTCTTTCCATCAACATCGAAGCTGAGTACCTCCTCCGAATAATTCTTTTGTATCTTTGTTCGAAATATGTCTTGACGATGTGTGGGAGCACCATGATACTTTACAACTGGCACGCTTGGAAGCCACTTTTCGAATTCCTCGTCCCAATTTGAAAGAGTGCTCATGGGTGCCACGATCAAGAATGGTCCTTTGTATCCACTTTCTCGTAATTTGGCAACGAGGGAAATAGTCTGGATAGTCTTTCCCAAACCCATCTCATCTGCCAGGATTCCTGACATTGATTGAAAGGCAATGTCGTACATCCAGGTAAGTCCCTCCAATTGATATGGTCTCAATTGCCCACCAACGATGTTTCCAGGCTGCTCTGACATCTCGATATTGTTACCACCCAGCACATTCCCCTCAAAGTCTCTCCCAACTTGACCAAGTGATTTTGAGTTACCCTTCAAAATACCAGTAAATTGTTCGCATTTGTTCAACAGCTCTGCAAGCTCTTGCGCTTTGGCGTCGCGATCCTTAATCGGGGCCTTCTTTCGCCCACGTTTGGTCTGCCTTTGTTCTTGTTGCTCGTTCGCCAATCTTGCCTTCTCATTCTCCTCACGGATGGCCTTCTCTTCGTCGTTTAGGAAGTCTTGATCGAGCTCCGAATCGACGTCGACAATGGGAGACATCTCCGAAGGCGGCGAAGAGGGTGGAGTGCTCGAAGAGCGGGATGCTGGACTTGAAGATCTGCTGGTGGCCTTCACTTGCCGACCCATAGTATCCAATGAAAGACAGGGTTGTCGGAAATTTAATGTTTTCAAAGAAGGTGCTCTTCGCAGATGGAGGTGAAAGCTCTCTTCTGCAGAGATCAGAAGCCAACGCAGAAGAGAGTTTGGCAGAGAGACAATGATACAGATGCTACTGAAGCAATTGTCAGTTAAATTTCCGAGTGAAATTTCCAGGGTAAGTTTCAGAGAAGTATTTGGCTCATTATATTATGGACTTACACTCTCGGGAATTGTCCAGGCCGCGCTCACTAATTCTGGTGGCAAATGATCCAACAGAGTAGTGTAGATAGATATCTTAGACTCTATAGATTTTTCTCTATGTTGTAGGGAAGAGAAGTTGAGCAGTCCAAAAGGAATCCAGATGATGATCTTGAGTTGGAGGGAGAGGTGCAAATTATGGAAAAGATGATCTCGGGGGTATAACGCGTGGTGACATTCATCGCGTAAAGGGAAATTCTCGCGAAGCGACGCGACTCGATGATTCATGCCGAGCAAGCACCGATCCCTGCAAGCGAGAAGCTGTACCTGCGCTAGTTTTTTGACGTCCGAGCTCAACTCAGCCTTGCGCCCAAATAACTATTACTTCGTAGATGCCGAATCAACGCCTCGTCCTTCTTTCAACCATCGAGTCAATCAAACTCGTCATGTCGACATTGTTACCCTCGACTACACAATATCTCGGATGATATTGCGATAGCGCAATCGCCTTGAGACGAAAGGTTTCATTGATTGCAATCAATAAAAACCACATGCAGCCAGTGCGCCCGCCACGATGACCGTCGTCGACCACTTTCTCTCCTCGATCTTCCAATTTCTCAAAGCCAAAGATGGCGTCCAGCTACGGCTTTGGTTCCAAGTCGAGCCTCCTCTCCCTCAAGAATATACCCAACTCAGCCAGGAATTGAAGGCATCATGGATAGACAGCAAGAAGCTCGAACAGTATATCGAGAATGCCCTGCCCTTCAACGACGACGATTTGTCGGAGGACGGAGGGGCATGGCCTGGTTTCCTAGCTTTTATGCAAAGCTACCTGGAGTTCTGGAGAGACGTTAAATTCGAGGATCTGCTGGCGACACATCTGCAATTGTCTGCTCTCATCATGTTAGTATACTCCTTGGCAGTACAAGTGGGCTGTCTGACAAGCCAGCAATAGTTCCTGCAATACGGCAATGTCAAACGCGACTTATGGAATCATTATGCTTCCTACAGCAATGCAACTATGCAAAGCTTTGGCACAGCTTGCGGTCATGCTTGACGGAATGCCACATTTGACACAGAAAATGGCCCAAGTCAAGGACGTCGAGGCGGGAGAAAAGAAAACGCTGGTTGAGAGCACGGCTGAGACAATACAAAGAGCCTTCACACTCTGCCTGAACGAGAGAACACCGAGCAAAAATGGCATAGGGAGAGACGGGAAGCCCGAAGGAAAGAAGATTGGAATATACTCGTTCGCAAACATGGTTCTGAAGTTGCTTTTTAAGGTATGGAGGTTCAGCTAGGTCCATGGTCACAGGCAGATTAATGTGTGCACAGAGCAAGAAGACGGCACTTGCTAAACAACTGTTTACGAATACTGCAAATCAGTCGCCTCCCCTAGGACTTTACCCCGCAGCTCAACGAGTTACATACCTCTACTATTTGGGGCGTTATCATTTCGCTACCGGACACTTCTACTTCGCACAGAGCTGTCTTCAATCCGCCTACAATCAATGCCATGCTCAATGTATTCGGCAGCGTCGAGCAATACTCATCCATCTACTGTCCGCCAACATGATCCTTGGCCGGTTCCCCTCTCAAGCGTTCGCAAATCGTCCCGAGGCGGACATCGTAGCGAAATTTATGCCGATAGCAAATGCAATTCGGAAAGGCAATATGGTTGCGTTCAAACATGCGCTGGGGCCTGAAGCTGGGAATGAGAAATGGTTCTTTCGCCATGGCGTCTATCTGCAGCTTCTCCATCGATGTGAGGTCCTGGTCTGGCGTACACTCGCTCGGCGCGTCTTCTTACTCACATACACTTTTCCGTGGGATCCAGATTCGAAGAAAGCTCCGACTTTGAGCTTGGCAGATATGGTCGCTGCAACGCAGTTCTGTCAGAAGCTATTGGAAGGTTGGCGGAGACCCGCTGATTCCCTGGCCTTCATGCAATCAGGGCGAAAACATGTAAACTCTCAGTTCATGAAAACACCCGATTTTGTTCCGCCCCCGGAAGGACCCAAACTTCTACATGCCGGGCGAGGCATGATCTTCGGTAACAAAGTCCCGGACCTGATCAATGTTGAATCTATTCTTGCAAGTCTGGTTCAGCAAGGCTTGCTGCGCGGCTTCATCAGCCATACGCAAGGGAAATTTGCTATTATAGGATCTAAACAGAAAGGCGGACCTCTACCAGCTGGGTTTCCACCGGTGTGGGAAGTTCTGAAGGCTAGAGCGGAATCAGAAAACAGGACTGAAGAATGCCCGGGATGGGTCCAGAGGGCAAAAGACTTGAACCTGGGAGGGGTGGTGAACCTGGCTGGCGCGAGACCTGCAGGCGAGAACAGCTGAGCGAAAAATAAAAAGGCGACAATGGAACGATTATACCCTGGGAAACCAATCTTATGAGAAGGCATATATCAACGAATGTATCACACCGTTGGTGGATGGCTCAAGGTACGGTCGATCCTCTACTGGTTCAAGGGGAGAAACCTCTGGAGAATACACCCTGCCAGCATCAATGTCCGCAATACGTGCCTTTCATTCTTGGCATTTTTGGCAAATTTCTCTTCTTTATTCTTTCCCATGCCGACAGTAAGGCAGCGTTGACAGGCTTTCAAGATGATATTTCATTCTCTCCTGCCTGCTCACTACCCTTGGAATTACTTTCCTTCTCGATAGTTCTCTCATGGTAGGACTGCTATGTGGAACGAGATCTGAAACGTATTTTCGAACAGGAACCCACCACTGGGGTGGCTGAAGCCAAGGGGTGCAGTAAGAAGGGCGGATGAGGAGGAGAAAGAATCGGGGGGGGGGGAGGGGGGGGGGAGATATACGTTTTGGGATGAAAACAAAATATTTTCGAAAACAAATAGTACCGTAGCAGCGGGGATTTCAGCGGCTCTGCTTTCAGCATAGATTAATAGCTGAGAAATCAAACTCCGATTAGTTAGCCTAATCATCTCTTCCTCCGTTCACGCATTCCATCTGATTTCGCATCACGGCTACTCTTTTCTTCAACCTTCCTTCTTTCTAGGTGAAGAAGTACCCAAGTACTCAGGCAAGTGTCTCTCCATCGCCACTGGCACAGCCCAGAACAGCGTACAAGGTTGGCTCTTTGCGTGAGCGTCATGAGATCGTTGGCGGAGAAGGGCAGAATCGAGGCCGAACAGTGTGGGAAGACGGGCGGGCATATTGGCCTCGCTAGATTGATGGGGGACGGAGATACGACACTTTGTTGTTGGAGTTAGAGATACAACTATATATTGCTGGCTCTTGATGACACAAGGGCACGAGTCTCTAGCCCCATCCACGTCGATCCATTGATGGAGAAAGATGGTAATATCCACCTCATGCATCTCGTTCGAAGCCAATATCCATCTCCTTTTGGGGATTGATATGTGGACGAGGCTGACGAGTGTATGGAATTCCACCGAATGCAAAGAAAGGAGAGGAAAAAGAAAACTTCTAAGGCAGTACGACGAAATTGAATCAACATCGCAAAAACAACCATACAAACCAAACAAAGAATCGAGAGCAACATTTTCATACTCTTGCCACGAATACCACTCGGCTAACGTAAACAAGACACACATATATTACAGGTATCTATCTGACACGGTCTACATCTCTACCTCCCCGCCTTTTCCGCCTCGATCTCCTGCTCCAGCTCTGCCAGAACCTGCTGTCTCGACCTCAAATGACTTTCCAGCCCATCAACCTGCTCCTTGACCGTCTCAATCTCTTCTGACACCCCCTTCAAGCTCGCCCCAACCTTACTCTTGCCTTCCCCAGACTCCAAATCCCGCAGCTCCTTGCGCTTATAATCTAGCAGCTGCTCTAGCTCCCTCTTCACCAACGCCGGCTTCGTATCCCTCCGTCCGCCAGAAGACCGGGCAGCGGCTCCGGCTTCGACTTTCTCGATTTTGGCTTCTAGTTCGCTGAGTTGCTTCTTCAAGCGCACTTCCTCCCAATCCTCTGTGGTCTTTGTGGCGGAGAAGTCCGTGCCGGCGGGCTTGTAGCTTGACTTTCCACCCATGCCCATTCGACTCAGATATGTGTCTCCGAACTTTGCTCTCCGTCCTGTGCTCGTCTCCTCTCCGCCCGTCGTGCCCCATCGCTGTGCTGGTGACGACGTGCGCTGGTTGTCGATTTGGTAGTCAATCTGGTTGCGCTCGAAGCTGGCGCGTAGGGAGGGAGGCACAGTCCGCGGGATGCGGAAGCCTTCGTGCCGGTTGTTTAAAATGTGTAGAAAAGCTAGGGTGGCGTCTTTGCTAATGGCGGGAGCTGCGGAGGGGTTTACGAGGTTCCATGCCGAGCGAATATCGGTGTCTGGGACGTCGAGAGAGGAATATAGGGTGTCGAGGGATTCAACTGTAAAGCACGCAATTAATATGAAAGGTTATCTTCATGATTGGTAGCAACTCACAAGTAATATCTCCCCGCCCATCCCGGTTCGCAGAATATATCTCCTGGTACTTGGACTTGTCGTTGGGGCTCATGTACCAATCGAAGCCATCCTTCAGCCCGGGGCTATCATCATCATCCTCAATCTTCTCGAACTGGACTTGTCTACCCGTGAGCGCCCGATTCGCCTGTACGAGATGCGCTTTCGATTCAGGAACCAGCCAGTCCGGAAGCTGTGGCGGAACATCCGCATACTCCTACGACGGCTCAGCATTAGCCAAATTCTCAAACCTCCTCCTGTCGCAATGGCCGGCGGTAGACAAACCCCGTTAACCAGATCAAATATCAACCGCATCGCTACGCAGAACTCCTCGAAGTCCAGATTGCCGTCATTATCGACGTCCGCCAGATCCCAAATGCGCTCGAGCTGGTCGTCGCGCAACTGACTGTTCTTCAGCACCGGCGCCGCTTGGGAGCCGGTGAGTTGTGTGCCGCCATTCGAGAGGGATGCGAAGATTTCCCAGTATTTCTCGATTTCGCTCTGCTCTATCCGCTTGTTCGACATGTTTGGTAGTCGAGCTATGGGTGGTCGAGGGACCTTGTCGGTAGATGGAGAACTGTAGGGTTTTGAAGCTGGAATCCGAGACTTATTGCCTATACAAAGCTGTATGTAGCCTTTCGGGGACAGGTCGTTTATTTGTATCGAGAGTACGAATACGTGGGGTGGGTACGGGGATAAATTAGCTGTTAGTATAAGCTTAAAGTCCAAAGCCCGGGAGTTAACACTGATATCGGCTGTGAAGAAGATGACTAATCTGAGCTAAACGAGCCGTGGCGCATAGAAAGTCAGGGGTTTGTAAACAACCAACTTTCCAGCTTGCAACATGCGACTCTTTACGAAATGCCACATCAGATTTGATATGGGGCACTCTAACAAAGAACTAAAACGAAGCTCTTCGGGGGTTGGATCCATTGACTTTCTCATATTTTACAGATTTTACAGATCCACAAGTACTTTGCATTCACGCCTTCTCTGCGCCCTTGCTCATTCGCCTCCCTTAAGCTTTTGCCCGTTTTTATGTCTATTGAGATGCCGGGCAAGGTGATCTTTCCGAGAAAACGACCTTCCATCACAGATGTGACATTCGTATGCCAGTCCTCCTTTATGGACGCTGTTTTCATGCCGCTGGCTCTGCTGTATGATTGTCAGTTTGTGAAATTGGGAAGGATGCGTTTTTTCGTAGCTCTGATGTTTCCAGGGGTTTATTTCTCGGAGAAATCAAGAGGGGGTGAGTAGGCTATTGCTGGGCGTACTTACTATAGCATTACACGGCTGTCCGGTCTTCGGGTTGGTTCGCATGCACAGCTATTGCAAGTCAGCCAGGGTCCAACAAGTCTTGCTTATACCATAGGAGTGGAAGTAAGTCTATATGCAAATCACTTGCTTTCTTGTTGGTAACGCCCGAAGTATTGTCCTTCTGCGCACTACCCGTCGAC